GTTAGTCATTTCTCTTTTATATTTTAAAAAAATAAATATTCATTCATATAATTTGTTTACTTAGCTTTTATTTAGTGTCGGTCTTGTTATCTCCTTAAGTCATTTCCCTTAGAAAAATTCCCCTTTAGTTCATCCCCCTTGAGATAATAATAATAAAAATAATAATAAATAAAAAATAAAAAATAGTCATAAATGAGTTCTTTACTTATTTAAAATCTCAAAAAAATTAGTTAAAATAAATGAGTTCTTTTACTTATTTATAATTTTGAAAAAAAATATATAATTTTATTAGTTAAAATAAATGAGTCCTTTTTACCTAGTTAAACTTTCAAAAAGTTGGTTTAAATAGATGAGTTTTTTTTTACTTGGTTAGAATCTCAAAAAAATTAGTTAAAATAAATGAGTTCTTTTACTTATTTATAATTTCGAAAAAATAATAATATAATTTTATTAGTTAAAATAAATGAGTCCTTTTTACCTAGTTAAACTTTCAAAAAGTTGGTTTAAATAGATGAGTTTTTTTTTACTTGGTTAGAATCTCAATAATATGTAGGTAATATAAATGAGTTCTTTTACTTAGTAAAAATTTTAAAAAATTAGTCAAAAATCACTTTTAGTCAAATCGCCGGTCAACCGCAAGTTAGCGGGCATTCCGAGGGCCTAACACTTTCTCGGAATGTACATTTGAACTCGAACCCTTTTTCAATTGATTTTATCTGTTTAAGTCTTTTGAAAAATTTTGTTTTTTTTCTTGATTTTTTACTAAAAATTAAGTGGCGACTCTGTCCTTTTGGAAACCCGATTTCTCTTAAACCATAAGTTTAATCGGTTTTTTTTTCGAAAAACTCAGTCATTTTCCTTTTGATATATTTTAAATAAAACAGAAATGACGACTCTGCTGGGTATTTAATTAAGTTTTAACCATAAGATTTGACTTGTTTGACTAATTGTATTAATTGCTAAACTGTTTATCTGCTCTCAACGTGTTTAATTTGTTATAACTGTCATTGCATTCATGGCATCTTCCTATTGTATGTATAGTATATTAAGGACGGTTTCTGCATAATCGCAACCGAACTTCTTATACTCAACCCTTTTTCGGAAGGATTGGCGATTTATTAGTACGTCATGCGTCCAATGGTTGTCGTGAATTCCAGCCTAAGTCGTCCACTTGGGTTCCCCGTCTTTCAAAGCCACTCTTAGTCAACTAGCGTAAAGCGAAAACCAAATCCCAATTTTTAGCGCATTTTGAACTAGGTCGACCCAACACCCAAGACGTGTTGGGCCCATTAGAAGCCCACCTTGTGTCTATTTGGCCCATTTGCCAATAAAAAGACAATCATACTTATGTGTTTTAATTGAAGGATGTATATGTCATTTTTAAACAAATCGATTATCAAGTGGGGGTGGGGGTTAACTTACCTTTCTTTGTTTTTCTTGTAAGATGAATCCGACGTTTGAGCCGTTTAGAACTCGAATGGTGACTATACATGATCCTTACCTCCAAGTTTGGTGGAAATTCATGAACAAGAAAGATAAAAAGAAAGTGCAAAGACACATAGGCCATCTCCCGTTATTAATGGAAATGGTGGCTTACCCCGACTTGATCGAAACGATGGTGAAATTTTGGGACAGCAACAACATGGTATTTCGGTTTGGGGAAGTAGAGTTGACTCCGACTATAGATGAAGTCCTTGCCAGTTACGATAGTGTCGGCATGTGCAACAAGAGGAAACACCAACCCGATACTGATATTCTATTTCCAAAAGTATGGGATTTTGCTGAAATCAAAGAAAAATTGTCACTCGTCAAAACTGAATGGATGGACAGGCTGCCCGGGTCAAATATTCCACTTCGGAAGTTGTATTATCGATTTGGACGCGCAAGAGCTTACGAGAAGTTTAAAGATGAGTTCGTGTCGGAAGAAAAATGGAAGGAAACACGCCCCCTCGCTTTTGCGATATGTCTACTTGGGACAATGGTATTTTCCCAAGGACCGAACTACACCATCCATCCAAGTGTAGTAATGGTTACTCATGCTATTTTTAATGGAGTAGACTATGGACCTGTAAGAAAGTACTACAATTTGGCTCCTATGATCCTTGCTGACATTTACAGGGCGTTGGATAGGTGTAAAAATGGCACACGTTTCTTTCAAGGGGGCAACCTGATACTTCAATGGTGGATGATGAGACACTTGATCAAACCTCATGATCCAACAGAACCAGATTCCTTGGAAAGACCGAACAGGCTCGAAAGTCACGATTGGTGGGTACAACGTAATCATTTCAATAGGACTGGAGGCCAAGAGTTTTGGTACCTAAGACTTCAGGGTTTGAGAGAGGAAAATGTGCAGTGGTCTATCCAATGCTTGGTAATAACAAAACAAATTGTGATCCGAAGTGGAAAGACCCCCTACTTGATATTTGCTTGGTTGAGAGGAACTCGGCCATATGCTCCTTCTCGAGTACTTAGACAGCTAGGAGGGAAACAAGAGCTTCCTCAGATAGAAGACATGACAAAATTTGTGACGGACCATGAAAATGGCGAAGTCGCTTTTACTAAAAAAATGCTTTAATTATGGAAGACTCGAAGGGTATTGGCCTAGCCGGTACCAAATAGGTTTCGTCCGGAATGTTCTAAGGATTACAAAGAATGGTTAAAGAAGAGTCACGCCGGATGGAGTGTTAAAATCTGTATTAGTTCTTAATATATCGTCATCTAATGTGAAAGAGGATGTATATAATTTTTCATGTTTGTTTGTATAGAAACGATTGCATAGAGAAAATTTAAGCATAGGAATCATAGGATAAATATAACCTTAAAGTTGGATGATAATATAAAGAATGATAAATATAATTTTTTTTGAGAGTACAAAAACAAACATGACCCGAATACTTTGCCCATGTTTACGTGTTTGATTTGATATATCTTTAATAAGTACTTAATAAATTTAAAAATAATTTTAAATTATTAATATATAAAAATTTTAAATAAAATACATATAAAATAATAAATTATCTATTTATTTATTTATTTATGGGTAAAGGGTCAAATATGCCCTTAAACTATTCGAAAAGGTCTAGATATACCCTCCGTTTAAAGTTTGGCTCACTCATGCCCTCGCCGTCCAACTTTTGGTCTAAATATGCCCTTATGGGCGTTTGTTGGCCTGCTGGACATATCCAACTCCTTTTTCATTTCTTTAAATGCCACATGGAATTGCCATGTCATTTCGACTTTACCATATGACATTTATATGAAAATGGAAAGGGATTAATTATACCCCTAAAAAATTCGAACCCATAAACACCTAATCCGACCCATAAATCAACCCCCCCTTTTAAAAAAACTACCCGACCCATTTTCAACTTTTTATTTTTTTCGGTAAATCCCGAAAATTAGTAATTGATTAATAAAAAATATGAAAAAAAAATTAATGCCAAAAATTCACAAATAAATATTATAACCTTAAATTCAACAATTTCAACAATTTTTTTTAATTTTTTTTTTTCGGTAAATCCCGAAAATGAGTAATTGATTAATAAAAAATATGAAAAAAATATAAAATTAACGCCAAAAAATCACAAATAAATATAGTAACCTTAAATTCAAAAATTTCAACAATTTTTTTAATTTTTATTTTTATTTTTTTAATAAATTACTCATTTTCAAAATTTGCCGAAAAAAAAAAAAAAAAATTGTTGAGATTTTTGAATTTAAGGTTACTATATTTGTTTGTGATTTTTTGGCGTTAATTTTATATTTTTTATTAATCAATTACTCATTTTCGGGATTTACTGAAAAAAAATAAAAATTTAAAAAAATTGTTGAATTTAAGGTTACACTATTTATTTGTGAATTTTTAACATTAATTTTTTTATTTTTTTTCATATTTTTCCTTTTTTTTATTAATCAATTACTAATTTTCAGGATTTATCGAAAAAAATAGAAATTTAAACAAAATTGTTGAAAACGGGTCGGGTTGTTTATTTAAAAAGGGGGTTGATTTATGGGTCGGATTAGGTGTTTATGGGCTCGAATTTTTTAGGGGCATAATTGATCCCTTTCAATTTTCATATAAATGGCATGTGGTAAAGTCAAAATGACATGATAATTCCATGTGACATTTAAAGAAATGAAAAATGAGCTAAATATGTCCAGCAGGCCAACTAACGCCCATAAGGGCATATTTAGACCAAAAGTTGGACGGCGAGGGCATGAGTGAGCCAAACTTTAAACGGATGGTATATCTAGACCTTTTCGAATAGTTTAGGGACATATTTGACCCTTTACCCTTTATTTATTAGGAAAATGCTCAAATATGCCATCGAACTTTCAGAAAAAACTCATTTATGCCATCCGTTAAAAGTTTAGCTCATCTATGCCATTACCGTTTAAGAAAAGGCTCATTCATGCCATTATTTTTTAACGGTGGTTTTGCAAAACCATTTTTTACACGTGACCAATTATAATTCGGCCACGTCATTATTTTTTCAGAATTTTGATTTTTTATTATAAAAATAATAATGACGTGGCCGAATTATAATTGGCCACGTGTAAAAAATGGTTTTGCAAAAAATGTTTGTTCAGAATTTTGATTTTTTATTATAAAAAAAAAATGACGTGGCCGAATTATAATTGATCACGTATAAAAAATGGTTTTGCAAAACCACCGTTAAAAAATAATGGCATGAATGAGCCTTTTCTTAAACCATAATGACATAGATGAGCCAAACCTTTAACGGATGACATAAATGAGCCTTTTTTAAAAGTTCGATGGCATATTTGAGCCTTTTCCCTTATTTATTTATCCTTTCGTAGAAGCAGAACAAATATCGTTGTCAAATCTTTTCCCATTCGCCAGTACTCTGAATTTAAAACTTGCACTGCAATCGCCACAACATCTCCACGTCATATTGGATTAAACTTCTTTCTTAAATTAGTAAAGAAATAAAATTCATCTTTAAATTCTCTTTCACCGTCATTTTCCTTTAGGAAAGCTAACCATTTCTCTTCATAACAATGTCGATGGTGGCGTTCATACTCCGGCGAAAAGTACACACAAAACCCTACATTTCTCAACAATCATCGCTTTACGCCACGACGCCGGCGATAAAGAGTTCGAATAATCAACGGATTGAGAAAATACTCATAGCTAATAGAGGTGAAATTGCTTGTAGAATTATTAGAACTGCTAAGAGATTAGGGCTTCGTACTGTTGCAGTTTACAGTGATGCGGATAGAGATAGCTTACATGTGAAATCCGCCGATGAGGCTTTTCGTATCGGTCCTCCTCCTGCTCGTTTGAGCTATTTGAATTCTTCTGCTATTATTGAAGTTGCTAATAAATCTGGAGCTCAGGTATATGATAATGCTCTTTCGATTCTCTTACTCGATTATGTAATGAATTGATTGAGTATTTTTGGACACTTTCATTGGCTTCTAATTGAAATGTGAAGTGTGTGTGGTACAGTTGGAATTTTGAGATTCAAACTTCTAAATCATTAATTTGGACAAAGAAGCTTTAAATTTTTTGTAATAAAATTTGTATATTTGAAAACTATGTAAAAAGTGCTACGAATCATCATAATTAATAACTTAAAATATATATAAAAAAGTTATGGTCAAAGAGAAACTTGGTTCACTATTGAAATTTATATCCTTCCACATAAATTGAGACATAGGGAGTAATAATAATAATGTGTTCTCGCTAATATTTATGGGTTCTGTGCTGTTAAGACACTAGAGTCATCATTTATGCTAATATTTACTATTAATTTTGCAATGATTGATATGTATATATAGGTCTGTTATATGACAGCACTATGTAATATTTCAAACTTTTCTGCACTACCATAATTGATTTATTTCATTCATTTGTAAAAAGTTCAAGGCCAATAAGTACTTACTGAGCAGGAGTGCATTATGTAGGTGACCAATGGATTCACCCTCTCCACCCACCAAAAAAGGAAAAAAAAGGAAAATTCCAACATGAAAAAGGGAACGAAGAGAAGATGAATATGTTAACCATGTTTGACTAGTTTGTACCAATGGAATTCGTGGTTAAAACTCAGAAATGTAATTCTAGGCATATGTCAATATGAATAATGATGATCTTTTGGGTGATTGAAAAGCGATATTACAGCTAGGACAGAAGCATTTTTCAGAATAGCTTTTGATCAAACATGATTTTAGTGTGTCTCTGGGCCTTACTCTTTCCATCTGTTCTTTTCAGTTGTCTCAGAACTGTATTCTTCAAGCAAGAACTTTGATACAATAGTTATATTATTTAGTGTGTGACAGAACTGTATTCTTCAAGCAAGAACTTTGATACATTAGTTATATCAAACATGATTTTAGTGTGTGTAATATAGATGCTTGTTTTTTTAACTTTTGGGCACCGTAATAGTTTAAAAGTCGGATGTGAAAGCAATACTTATCATTTTACCTTTAATGGTGGAGATATGTGTTTCAAGTCATTGTTGTATTTAGCAATGTACATCCTAGCCTTGGTCAACAAAGTTACCTAGTATCTGTTGCTTGTGGGAGGTGGTGGGTATATGTGGAATTAGTGGAGGTGCGCACAAGTTGACATGGATACCACAGTTATGAAGAAATAATGGTGTACATCTCTAGAAATAGCTGACTTTACCTTTTCTTTAAAGGAGATATAAGCTACAATTCCATGATTCTCTTTTACCTAGTTATCCAACATATGAAAATATTTGACAGGTGCACTACATTGCACACTAGTCAGTAAGTGCATCAGATCCAGCTATGTCTTAATGTATAGTTCAATGGGACTAGATGCTAAACTTAGTGATGCTATGGTGCATCCTCAAATATCTTATTTCTTAAGAAGAAAACATGGCCTTTCTTGCCACTTGACATGAACTCCAAAAAAAAACTAGTTAATACAATGAACATACTTGTTTCTATGAAATCTGTAGACTTTTACTTTTCCTTGTTCGACTCGTGATAATTCCATGATTCACATTTAAATTTGTCACATTTTTAAATTAAAGTTTTGCTGATTAAATGATTGCCAACATGTAAACATTCAGAGAGGATCTCTTGTTTACATTTTGTTTATTTTATAATTAGGCTATCCACCCAGGTTATGGATTCTTATCTGAAAGTGCTGATTTTGCTCAACTTTGTGAGGATGAGAATCTCTTATTTATTGGACCTCCTGCATCTGCAATCCGTGACATGGGTGATAAAAGGTTGAGATCATTTCCATTCCACTTGCTATCATGTTATGCCTATGTATTCCACTTGTTTTTTTATCAAGTTGATTTATGCTACAACAGCTGAATCATTCAAATGGCTAGTTCTAATTTGTGAGGGAGATAAAAAGGCACAACTTTGAATTTGGATTATGAATCATCTCAGGAAGTTGCTCATACTCTTTTTCTATTTCAGCAGGAGAAAGAATTAGGTTAAAAGTCTACTGTAATGGGAAGAAGGGAAGCTCCGTGTTTGTTCTTCTCATTTCTTTTGTTTATGAATTTTCAGTTTTTCCCTCCTTTGAGCATGGACAATCATGTTTCATCTCATTACTTCCCGCTTTTGTGTCAATATGGTTGATTGAAATTTAGGATCTCACCAATTCAAACTGGCTGCATTAATACTTGAATAAATGGGTATTATTGCCTCTGTCCCTAATTACTTGTCCACTTTTGAATTGACACACCTATTAAGAAAACAATGATTGACATATTGAGTTTACCATTTTATCTCTATTAATTATAAAGTGGATGAATTTAAAATTTAAGATATTTAAGAAGTTCTACATTTTTCCGAGTAATTAATTGAGGGTATAGGTAAAAAAAATTGTCCTTTCTTGATTTGTCAAAATGGACAAGTAATTAGGGACAACTAAAAAAGGAAAAGTGCACAAGTAATTAGGGACAGAGAGAGTCTGTTTGCACCAGACAGAAATATGCATCTACTGCATGCATTTTGGCTATTTAAAAACTGCTGACTGTGACATTGGGATTAATATGATTGCTGTTAGTGTTTGTGTGAGACGGGGATGTTGATTTATGCGTAAAAGCAAGCATTAGTGGTTGTCTATGCATAGCAATTGATTTTTAAAGTTGATTTTAGCCTCAAGTGTGTTTCATGGGGCTAAGCTCCGCATTTGCAAAGGTCCTGTGTGCAACTAACATGGAACATGGCAATAATTCATGCCAGACTTAAAATGTTAGTTCTATATCACCTGCGTGAATTATATTTTCAGCTTCTCCCATATTGATTAAGCAATGGCTTAGAGAGTGTCTATATGCAAACGTTAAATCACATTTCATTGACCTACTAGCGTTTCTGGCATGCAGTTCTATGAAATGATCTGTCACATTGCACCACATTCTAATGCAGTTTGACTGCCAAGTGCTAGCCTTTCAGTGAAGTTTTAATTTAGCAGTATGTTGCTGCAATTGGATGCTGACAATTTATGCTTATTTCTTTTCTTTCTCTGGATATTTCCATCAGTGCTTCAAAGAGAATAATGGGTGCAGCTGGGGTTCCACTTGTGCCTGGATATCATGGTGATGAGCAAGATATTGACTTTATGAAGTTGGAAGCAGACAAGATTGGGTATCCTATTTTAATTAAGCCAACCCATGGAGGTGGAGGGAAGGTCTGCCTTCTGTTAACGTACTACTTATTTTGCTGAAGGAAAACAAACTTAACTTCTAGCTTACAAATTTTGCAATTCAATCCTATTGTGTATGGCCATTTCTATTAAAGATTTCACTATAAGAAGAAATCTTATAATGCCAACAGGATAGCTCAAGTATATCTGAAGAAATGCTCTTGTTTATCGTGTTCTATAGTAAAAGAAAATAATGTCTACTAACCTGTTTTGTTTCAGGGTATGAGGATTGTTCAGAGCCCAAATGAGTTTGCGGACTCATTCTTGGGGGCCCAACGTGAGGCAGCTGCATCATTTGGTATAAGTACAATCCTACTGGAGAAATATATTACTAAACCAAGACACATAGAAGTCCAGGTAGCTCTTGTTATGTTTTGATAGACTGCTTGGTCCTTTCCATTTTTGTTTTCTTGCTAGTTAGATTAATAGCTAACCTTAAGTAGTTGGGGGAAAGAAAGAATTAAAAAAATCCCTCTAACTAGCTTGAGATTGAGACATACTAGTTGTAGTTGTTGTATTCTCCTGCCTTGCCCCTTTTCATACTTAATAAATATAATTCTAGTTCGCTTACATTTATTTTGTTAGATATTTGGGGATAAACAAGGTAATGTAATACATCTCTATGAGAGAGATTGTAGTGTGCAGCGAAGACACCAGAAGATAATAGAAGAAGCTCCAGCTGTAAGACTTTTTTGTTACAATTTTCTTTATTTCTCTTGAAGTGTCTTAAAAGGTTGACAAAACTTTGTTATACGCAGCCTAATGTGAGCTCTGACTTCCGCTCCCATCTGGGTCAAGCAGCTGTATCTGCAGCTAAGGTCAGATGAATTTGTCTGTTTTTAGATTAGATAGTCTACTCGAAATTGTCAAGTTTATTGGTGGTTAGTTTTTAAATACCCTTAACTTTTTCTTGTCGGAGACAGATTATCTGAAATCAAGAAAAATGTGTTCTCATCTTTAACTATCATAAAGCATTTATCGTGTAATGCATGTATACGAGTCTCATCAATTACTTTAAACATGACAGTGAGGAAATGAACCTTGGGTCTAATTTAACCCAAAAGTTAGCTCATGAGGTGACGATTGCCCAAGGTCATATAAGGAGGCAAACAACTATAATTGCAGAGAAGTAGAATGAAAAAATGTGTATATATAATGAGCTCAAAGAGTTTATATACAAAGGAAATGAAACAAGTTGTGCTAAGCTAACTCCTAGAATCTAGGAGCATATAAACAATATGGAAACAAACTAACTGAACGATAAAATATTGTGAATAGGAAATTAAAGCCTAAAATAACTAAAGAGGACTCATCCTAATGCACAACAAGTGCTGAGCAGTAGGACTCATCCAAATGTACAAGTGATGAGTAGTACATACACTTCTATACCCCCCTCAAGTTAGGTGTGAACTTGTGAAGATACACCACCTAACTTAGGAACCATGCGCTAGAAGGTGGGCTTGGACAATGGTTTGGTGAGTGGATCTACAAGTTGTTCAGTGGAGTGGACAAGGAATACTCGGATTAGGCCATTGTGTACTTGGTTGCGAACAAAGTGAAGATCAACCTCAAGGTGCTTCATTTTGGTATGACGTACTAGATTTTTGGAATGTACGTGACCCCAAGGGTTATCACTAAGTACTATAGGAGCAGAGAGCAGCACATGAAGGTCCTTGAGCAAGTGGGTGATCCAGTTCATTTAAGACAATGCAGAAGCTACCGGACGATACTCAGCCTCAGTGGAGGAGGAGCAGGAGTAGTAGTTGCTTACTAGAACACTAGGAAATAGGCGTTGTGCCTCGATAAAAAATGTAATCAGAGATCAAGCAATGTTATCAAAAGCAAAAAGCGCAATAATGCTCTAAGGTCTGTTGGGGCTTTAAGTACAAAGCGCAAATGAAGTGTGGGCTTTAATGAAAATAGGCTCAAATGGAGAAAAAAAATACAAATATGTATATTAGTCCAAGACTAATAATTATAAGCAAGAATAAAAAATATATGGACAAAGAAATTGTTTTTTTATGATAAAGTGAAATGTCAATTGTTTATTGTCGCATCTTCCGGAAACTCTCATCGGCAAGGAAAAGTATGTCTTAGAGCCTTGATGACGATACTGAATTTGCAGATTAAGCGAGGCAAAACACTCAAGACATTTTGAGCTCACTTCAGGGCTTACATGCGCCTTTGACAACATTGAGATCAAATGGCTATCATTGATATCACCTGCCCAATCAACATCTACATAGGCATAGAGCGCAAGCAATTGTTGTGGGAAGTATGAATACCATACTTGATGTTTCTTTTAGATATTGAAGGATACATTTAATTGCCTTCTAGTAAACCATAGAAAGTGAGGTGTTGAACTGAGTAAGCCTGTAGACTGAATGTATGATGTTAGGTCTGGTAAACAAAAGGTACTAAAGCTTATAAAGCACACTCCTATACTCGTTGCCATCAGTTTTGGAGGCTCCTCACCAACTTGTAGTGTTGCAGAGATGCTCATGGGTGACTGAATGCCTTTGTGTTCTTACATCAGAATGTCATGTAACACCACCTCCATATGCGTGGATCGATTGTGGAACAAACCGTTTTTGCATCCTTGTACCTCATGGCCAAGAAATGGTCCAGTAAACCAAGATATTTAAGAAAAAGCTCTTTGGAAAGAGAGGTAATTGACTTGTTGAATGAGTGTTTCATTACGTCTGGTGAGTATGATGTCATCCACATATATCAAAATATAAATAGTAACTCCCAATTGTGTAGAACAAAAAAAAGAATTATCAGACTCAGCCATCTGGAACCCCATTTGAATCAAAGAATCGGTGAGTGCTTCATACCAAGCCTTAGGAGATGAAGCACCTTGAGGTTGCAATCCGTAGATTGCCTTTTTGCGTACGTCTTAACTACACTATTCCTTCTCAGAAAAACTCAAGTGAAGATGTCTTTGGAATAAATATCTGTAATTGTGTTTGTATGTCTGATTAATGCAAGAAATAGTATCACGTCACAAAGGAGAAGTGGAAAAGTGTACACTTCTGGAGGGGCAGCATTTGGACAATTTTAAAGCTAGGAGGTAATATTACCAAACTGGGTGCATATCAGTTGGTAGCAGAAGGCAAAGGGTATGCTTAGGCGGTAACAGATGAAGGGCATTTTTGTGTGTATTTTCCGTTCTGAAGAGCAGGAGGGATAAAATTTTAGGGTAGAGGTCCATGTGCAGATAATTCCTTGTTTTACAAGTAAAGCAATGTATTCTACGGCTAGCAGGGAAAAAACGGTCAGTGGCTTTATTGACTTGAAGTTCAGACTGTTAAAGCTTATATCTGCACTAGGGGATTGGATTATGCTAGCTCAGCATCGTGTTATATGATGGTTCTAGTTCTTGTCTAAAACAAGGATGAAGCTTGATATAGATAGTAGTGAATTAAGAGCCATATTTGACTGCTGAGGTTAACCTGCATCTTTGATTAGTAATTAGTTTCTCCTTTTTTTGCTAAGTAATTTTGTTATCTTTATTTTTGTAAGGAGATTTGAGTTTGAAAGGCATTCTACCATATTGCCTTTAGGTGACCAATAAAACGAATATCTCCATTTTCTCTCTCTATCGTGTATTGATATATTCCCCCCTCCCCTCTCGCTCGCTCTTGTGTGAAGTGTTATTGTAGTATTCAGTTCCTATAGAGATTCTGTTATGATAAAGTTAATTCTTGATCAATTAGTATCACTATCCTTCTGTTTGGAAGAGATGTTCTGTGGAAAAACCTCTCATATTATGATCTGTTCTCTGGTGCTGTCTGCTCTCTGTTGACATCTTTTTTCAGTATTGTTCTCAATTGCTACTCCTCACCTGACATCCCCTCCATTATGTTTGAAGGCAGTCAATTACCACAGTGCAGGAACTGTTGAGTTTATAGTTGATACACAATCTGGACAATTTCATTTTATGGAGATGAACACCCGTCTTCAGGTACTTTTGATTAGTCTATGCCCTTCCCTTCTTGTAGCAGTAGAGCAGAGGATATAATCATTCTCTGTCAGGTTGAACATCCAGTTACAGAGATGATTGTTGGTCAAGATCTTGTAGAGTGGCAAATACGTGTTGCAAATGGGGAGCCTCTTCCCTTAACTCAGTCAGAGGTGCCATTTTCAGGTTAGAGTTTACATTGGTTAACTTGCTTTACTGTTCTCTAATAGATTTATGCAAAGTGCTTGCTCGGTAGGATCTGCTGGACGAAGCTAGAGTTATTTACCTAGATATACCAAGACTGCATACGATTCGATAGAACGATTCTTAATATATAATGTTCCTTTTACTTCCCTGGAATGTAAAAGTTTGCTTAGGATTTGAAAATTGCTTAGACTCAAAGAAATTTAGTTCCATTACATACTGTAGCTTAAAAGTTTTGTTGACACCCTTAAGTTAAAGTTGGAGGTTGTCTCATATAATAGTGAGATTGGAGTAAAAAATATTTATAGATTTTTTCTATTTCACTTGTATTTTTTGATGTAAAGAGATAAATAACATGTTGTAGGATAGCTGGTCAAACTTGGTGGAAAGTGATGGATGACTTGAGCAGAGTCATAAGCACAGATTGTACTGTATTTCTTTTTGCACCAACATGGTCTTTTTATGAAATTTCTTATCTTAAAAAAGGGATAAATACTTGAATCATTAGAACAACCACTTGCACATAAGTTTAACTGATATGTCTGTTCTTTTTCAAAGAAGATAAAACAGAAACTTATTTTAATGTCATAATATCGACAGTGACTCAAAGGCTTATCTGAAATTGAGAACCATTTACTGGAAGTGATGCCTTGAATCTTGATTAATATAATACCATCTTTGTAGCATAACTGGATCCAGTAATGCTCAATGAAAAGCATAACTTTTGGGTGGTATTGACATTTCTATAGTCTTCAACATCACAATCCAAATCGAGTACTTTCTCTTGATTGTTGGTTAGGAGGTGAATTATTCATGTAGTAAAACCAACATAACTAGTACCATGTTTGGTAGCATTTTAGTTACTGTGTATAAAATTCAGCACACCAAGTACTGTGTTAGGTTACCTATTTACAAAACACATAACTAATACCTGTATACGTTATGAGGGAATCTATGTATTATTTATGCAAGGTAGAAGATAGGATAACTAATAAATGAATAACTAAACCCCTGCATAAAAGGGGGAGCTCCTAGGAAGGGGTAAAAATAGAACTTGCATGAAATAATATATAAATTCCCTCATAACTAATCTCTATCCCTGTGTTACTAATACATGTACAACTCTAACTAGCAAGCAAATGAGGTTTCTTCTTACCTCTCCCTAGGAGCTCCCCCTTTTATGCAGGGTTTAGTTATCCATAAATTAGTTATTCTATCTACTATTCTGCACAAAATAGTACATATATTCCCTCATAACTAATCTCTATCCTCTGCATTACTAATACATGTACAACTCTAACCAACAACCAAACAACCCCTTAACCCATGGAAAGAAATGTGTTTCATTATAACAAAAAAATTCTTCTCATTAATGTAGTCAGTGCATGGACATGGTTCAGGAAAGTTTCCCATTTCAAACTTGGACTAGCACAATATGAGCTTAATATAATTTATCAGTGGAATTCATTCATGAAAAATGTTCTCTGAAGTAAACTGCTGCGGGATACTCTTATTACTGGAATCAAATATAGGAGTTTTAAGTTAATGTTAACCCTAGAGCATATGGGAGAATTCGTAGATGCTAATGTTTGTCAGTTTGATGCTAGGTCATGCTTTTGAAGCCCGAATTTATGCTGAAAATGTTCCGAAAGGATTTCTTCCAGCAACTGGTGTTCTTCATCATTATTGTCCTGTTACAGCTACATCAACAGGTGCGGATCCATACTATGATCATCTTATTTATGAAATGTTACATTAGGCCTCCTTTAAGTGGGTTGCCACTGAGGAAACATGATAGAACCCTCAATTTTTCCAGAGGGATGCAAGATATTTTAGCAGTTCTTTTAACTCTTTTACTATATCAACTACACTTTGTTCCTTGACTTGTGTAGATTGTTTTTCTAACTCTACTAGCATCAAATCTTAAATGTGAAACAAGTCCATGTAAAAAACATGACCATAGCTGCAAAATGTACCACCAGATGCATAACTGCTTATTTGGTGTTATATAGGAATACCAGCACTTGCTACCCATTCTCACATTTCTGATGAGTTGCTGTTACATATAAAAAATGAATTGCCATCTAAAAACTCCATCCACTCAGAAAAAATGTATGAATGGATTTCTGGGAGATCTATCAGCGTTTTTATGTCAAAATTGTTATATGGAATCATTTGACTCAGAACTAAAATTAGGGCCTCTCCCCAGCTGGATTTCCTTTTACACTGCCTTGCCAAAAGCTCTTCAACTCCAGCGAGTTGTCAATTACTTCACGGCCTTTGAAGTATCAAGCTAGGTTGCTCAATTTGCTGGCTGATAAAAAAAGGACAGCCCGGTCCCCGAAGCATCCCAGGTTCATGCAGGGTCTGGGGAAGGGCTGCACTGCCGCCTACCTGTTACACAAGCATCAGTGGCTGATTCAACAGTTTTCTGACTGATACAATAACATATTTACTAAAGCTAGTTGCTATAGTTTAATGAAGTTCTGAGCCTAGCCCATAGAGGATTCTCTGCTGATCATCTATCAGTTTATTTGCGTTTCTGATTATGCAAATTGCTAACTATAGTTAAGCTGTATATTTTGCACTCGCATGACTTTAATACATAATTGCAGTAAGAGTTGAGACTGGAGTGGAGGAAGGGGACACAGTAAGCATGCATTATGATCCCATGATTGCAAAGCTAGTAGTATGGGGACAGGACCGCCTTTCAGCACTGATAAAAATGAAGGATTGCTTGTCAAAGTTTCAGGTATGATTTTTTTTTTTGTGTTGACCTGTTTTGCAGGTAATGATTCAGAATAAATAGTTTAGAATGAAGAATACTCTAGTAATTGAGATCTAATCACTGCTCATTTAATGAAGGTTGCAGGTTTACCCACCAATATAGACTTTATCATTAAGCTTGCCAGTCATAGGGCTTTTCAAAATGGTGAAGTAGAAACTCATTTTATTGAGCGGTACAAGGATGATCTGTTCATAGACGGTTCCAATTCAATATCAGCGGAAAAAGCTGAGAGTGCTGCCAAACATGCTGCATCCATTGTAGCTGCATGCATTTGCCAAAATGAACTTGCAACATTGAAGGATAAGGCTCCTGGTGAATACTAATATCCTGTTGTGTTTAGCAAAGGCATGCTTTAGTACGAACAGCTGATGCATAGTTTATTGATATGTTCTCTTAAGCAGGAGGCCTTCATTTGTGGTATGGTAATCCTCCATTCAGAATCAATCATTTTGCTAAGCGAACAGTGGATCTTGAATGGGAGAATCAATACAGTATTAGCGGTTCAAATCTTTTAACAGTCTCCATTACCTATTTGCCAGATGGGAAATACCTAGTTGAGGTAATGATAATTTCTCTGTTTGATATAACAGAATGACTACAGTTGAGCTTGTTTTTGCCTTTAAGTTTTTCCATTTGCAGCAAAATAATCTATATCTTTAGACAGGAGAAAGCAATTCCCCTGGTTTGGAGATCCAAGTGACACAACTAAGCAACAATGACTACAGAGTTGAAGTGGATGGTCTAAGCCTGAATGTCTGCTTGGCAGCTTACTCCAAGGTAACACCTTATATTTCAGGTCCTTATCTTCAAGCTGTCCTGGGCCCCTGGCATACATATTGACTGACAAGTACACAACTATGTGTAGGCTGAGGCTGGAGTTATTAAAATGCCTAACATTGCACAACAATGTGATCCATTATAGCACTAAATTTATGTACATTAGGTGTTGTTTAAGATTGTGAATTGTGCACTTCACTTCAAAGAAGCATGCACTTGTCTTCTCACTTTTTGCTTCAGGCCCTATGGACTTTTTTTTGGGCGCATTTTGCTATTAAGAACACTGGTTTCTAACACCATTTTCAATCTAGTCTAACCAATGAAAAAGAAAAAAGAAGCGAGAAAGATTAACCTTCTAGTGATCCTAGGTGTAGATTTTTTCCAGGGAGTGTTGGAATGGTGCAACTTAGTCCACTAAATACAATTTGGACTAAAAATAAAGGATTTGCATATCTTTAGCACATTTAGTCTTGGTTCATGAGAATCTGATGCCCCTTGATCAAGAATGCAGTGATTGCCAAGGAAAAACCTGATCCAAATTTAGTTAGCCAAACTTCCATTTTTGCAGGATCAAATTGAGCATATTCACATCTGGCATGGCGACTCTCAACATCACTTTAAACAAAGGATGGGCCTTGAAATCTATGACGACGACGAAACAATAGACAAGCCTGCTAGGGTGGTGACATCTTATCCTTCTGGCACCGTGATTGCACCCATGGCTGGGCTAGTGGTTAAAGTATTGGTGAAGGATGGGGAGAAAGTTCAGGAGGGACAACCTGTGTTGGTATTAGAAGCAATGAAGATGGAGGTGTGTATATTACAACCACAGCTTAAGATTAACATCTCTTGAGTGGCTTAATTGTTTTGGCTGGTTCTAATTTATTGCTTTTGCTGCCCTTTACATTGTCTATGAGTAGCATGTCGTGAAAGCACCAGCTAATGGTTATGTAAGAGGGCTTGAAGTCAAAGTGGGCCAATCGGTCCAAGATGGTGTTAAACTCTTTGCTCTCAAGGTTAATCTTCTCTTCTTTAGATTTATGGACTTCATTCACATTTATATTTAATAATAAATATTGCATAGAACATTTTAAACGTTGGGAACAAGCATCAGGCTGCTATGGCTTTTTTTAACATTCTGGGCATCAAGCAAAAGTAGGATAACATGAATGCTAGATATCATTATATTCTCATTGATGAATGAATTTCTCAAAGAGAATTGATAACATAACAAAGTCACAACAAGAAGTGGTTTTGGGGAAGCAAAAGGGCACTAAGAGTATTCCTATATATATCCTTGATTTGCTTAGTCAAAATTTTCATGCACATGATTCTGCATGTTTAGGTTGATTGTCTACTTTGCATAATGAAGTGAGAACTTTATTCTTAATCTTGTTGGGTATACTATGATTCATAATGTTACTCCAGAGAAGATCAAAATATCACTTTGAAAACTTGCAAAATTTGAGTCAACCATGCTAGCTCGCTCTTTGTATCTAATCATCTTTTCTGTTGTATTCTAACCTCCTCGGTCTTTTTCCTTTTTGCTTGCCATCCTCGTTATTCCTTGACAATGCTGTCTTCCATCTTTGTTTGGTGGCTGGTACTAATCCTTTTCGCCGCTTGTTGATTTTACTAAAAAATGTATTTAAGACTTCTAAAAGCCTGCAAAACATATGCATAGGTGTCATAACTAGCCCACATTTTGGGTCAAAAGTCATCTTAACTCCTGCTTGGGCCAAATATCCTTATCTATGTTGCTCGGAAGGTAACAGTTGCAGATCTAGAGGTCAGATTCTTCATTACATAAATTTTAAGATTCCGGGATATGGATCCGAGTGCGGATTCTGATGCTGACATACGACCAATTGATGTCTATTACGACATATATACTCATATAAGAATATATTTTGGTTAACTAAAGTTTTCGAACTAAAACTAATAAAATTTAATTTCTTATAAACACCTAACATTTTATTCATAAGTTATCTCGTGTAATAAGAAAGTGTTCTCTTATTTTATATAACTATTTGTATAATTGTATATACATAAACCCAATACCAACTCAATTCTTGGTCATCAATGTAGCTAAAGCATGTAAAGTAAGTTGACCAAATCTGTGTGGATTCCACTTCCACGCCCAAATCGTGTCGTATCAACACGGGTGCGGCAGGGATTTTGAAGGGTTTTAACAGTGTAGATCCTTTTATCTAAGGATTCTTTACTCTCTTGTGAAGAAGTATGTTAATTTGAATGGACATTCTTTCATGTTGCATCAATATCATTACTATATCAGTATATAATGGTGAGAGCATATGCTAAATTAGTTGTTCTACTCTTTGACAGGACTGAAATATATCCCGAGGCTATGACATCATTCTACACAACTGTATTTATGACCTTCCTATGAGGACTGTACATCCAATAGGTATAAGAATAACAACATTGAGATGTAAAATCTCTTGGAGTTTCATCTTCTGTATTTCAAATACATTTACTTGTAAATGACTTTCCAGCTCAAAATTTGTCCAGATTAGTGGTATATGATCAATGGTTGCTCATGCATTTCTAAGATATACAAGCAAAGTTCTTTCTGCTTACTTCTGAAAGTTACTAGTTTAGGTATTGCAAGAAAAAAAACGTGCTTTGCTTTGTCCTGTTTCTCATGTTCTATCATTTTTACCGTCAATTCGTCATTAGTGATGCTTAGTTCTCCATTTTCTCTTTCATTTTGAACTCAGCAGTGAAACTATTCCACGGAAGAAAACTGTGGGTCTGCTGTTTGGAGACTACATGTTTTTAACAAACAACGTAATCAACTGTGACGCTTCTTTGCAGCTTGTACGATTGTTTCCCTTGCAACTATTGAATAATCTCCCTAGCAGTACAGCTTTCTGTTTCATTTGTTTGATCCGTTGCAATTTGAACGTCAAACTTGACAAATCTACAGGAATATTCAAACATTGTGTTAGAGGTATTTTATAAATTTTAGTAGATTTAAGGATGTGGAGTTTTACATGATAATCTTATCTTCAATTTACTTCGGACAGGTAAACTTGGTGAATTGAACACAGACCCAATTTTGGGCCGAATCATTTGCATAAGCTAAGTAGAGTTAAGTTCACAAAATGCCCTCCTTATAGGTGGTCTTGATTATTTTTGGCTCCGCTTGAAAATTTTATGCCCATCAGACATAAATTATCTTTGATTATAAAGCAGAAGTTGATATTTGTTCAATTGACTACAACTTCTTTCTTATAGGCAAAAGCCAGAACTTATGCCTTTTGGATAACATAGACAAAAAAATTTATTGTTCATCAGGCATAAGTACAACAACAACAACATACCCAGTGAAATTCCACAAAGTGTACGCAGACCATACCACTACCTCGTGGAGGTAGAGAGGCTGTTTCCGGAGGACCCTCGGCTCAAGTACATCCAAACCAAGTAAAAGAAGAGGAAACAATATATAAAACATAACATCCAATAAGAAAAATAGTGCATAATCAACAACGGAGACAATAACATCAAGAAAATACTGAGAGAGGTGAAACGCAGTAAACAACATATGACTATAGGATCACAGACAAGAACTACAAGTGCCAGACTAGGACTACTACAAACGCTACCAACCCATACCCTCGCAAGGAAAGACAACACGCTAACCTTACTAACCTTCAACCTTAATACGCGACCTCCACTCCTTCCTATCTAGAGTCATGTCCTCGGTAATGTGAAGTTGAGCCAAGTCCTGTCTAATCACCTCTCCCCAATACTTCCTAGGCCTACCTCTACCCCTCCGCGTACCCTCTACAACCAGCCCCTCGCACCTCCTCACTGGGGCGTCTGCGCACCGTCTCATCAGGCATAAGTAGCGGACATAAATTAGTTTTGCATATATGACAGTTATTCGGGTTATTTTAAGACTAGTGAACCTGCTCAATTGACCACAAGTTTTGTTTTATAGGCATAAACTACCAAGTTCTGCCTTATATGGCAAAAACTAAAACTTATGCCTGATGAGCTACAAAAGTTTTACCAACAATTTCTTAATTATTTTGTTAACCGGGAAGAAAAAATCAAGCTTTTGAAGACACCGTGCGTCATTTCTAGGAATCTTTCATCTTTTATTATTGGCTTCTAGTCAATGTCTGTATCCATATTGAGGGCAAGATTAATCACGCAATATAAGGCCTAGTTAGGAAGAAACACTCTCTAATGGGATCAGGCTTAAACTAAAATTTATAATTAAAAGATTGAGAGATTCTATCCATTTCATCATAACCTTGATCGGTGAAACTTCAATGTTCGATTTTGCTTCAATATTGTTGCAACGGATTACATTAGATATGAGTGATTGGGAATTAACTATAATCCTTTTCGTAGCTATTGGCTTTTAGTTTTTAAGCTTTTGGAGTTGGCATATTGCAATACTCGAAATGATGGGTGTCAAAACGGCTCTAAACCTGCCAAAAGGGTAAGTTTCTACTTTCGTTTTCTCTTCCTTTTTAGACATTGGATCTTTATTTTGAATTTGTCTTTGTGTTTCTTTATATTATTATTAGGGGTGGGTCTACTTAACATCCTATAGGTTCATCCTAACCTCATAAATATTGGCTCGGACTTTTTGTCCGAAAGAAAAATCTATAAATAAATGAATTGTGGTACGTAGAACCCAATTTGAATTTATAATGTTATAAAAAGTGATCTTACTTATTTTACTATAGACTTGTAGTAATTTGTTTTTATAAATTGTTGCATTGAGAATCTCCAAAGAAATTAGAAATGTCTATGATAGTGACATAGCAAATGACTATTTTTATTTGTGACCGATGATTGCTTGCGAGAAGGTATTAAAACATTATGGTTGTCGATCAAGATATTTTTCTTCTCATGAAGAGTGTGGCATTGCAAACTTCTTTTGGATGATGATTTGAAAAAACAATCAGGGAAAATAGTAAGAAAAATTAGTCTATTATGAAATTTGACTGGTTTGGGTTTATAAGTGGGAACCATATGGTGTCAAGTGGATCAATTTATAAGCTTAGTCAAACACACACCCTCATTAGTCATTAGTATGAAATTTTCTAACATTTAATTTTCTTGGAGTTCAATGTATTCTCTTCTTCCATTTTTACTTGTCCATCATAGTAAAAATAACTGATACTTTTACTTATCTAGTTTAGAAAAATCAAGAGATAATTTATCACTTAATTCCTAATTTATTTTTATTACTTACTATAGTCATTTCCCAATACATTTGTCATAACATTGAATTTATTATATTTAAAAGATAACATAATATAATTGTCCTTCTATTTATTATTCTTTAAGAATGTGACAAATCGATACTGAACAAATAAAAATGGACGGTTCATCAAATACTATCCTACCTTGATTCCTTATTTTGGCCGAAGTAGAAAACTACAAAATAACCAGCTAGCTTCTTTTTCTTAGTTCAGTGTCTGTCAATTTCAATACTAAAAAGGAATTTTCAGAGCTATAATAAGTTAAACAATCTTGGTGGCTTCTAAATCATGATCACAGTATTTGAAATGTCTTCTTTGTGTAGGCCAAATCAAAATCAATTATAGCCACCTATTTTACACTATGAAGTAATATTTAGTAAGAGTATTAACAAAGCACATGGCCAAATCATCAATCATTTTCCTTTTGTTAATACATTACACTAACACACCAACAAAGATTTGTTCAATACCTAACATAAGTTTTGGTGCAGTGGTGGAACTGCTTCATTCCTAGTCAAAAGTTTCATGTTCGGTTCCTGGGTATGGAGATAATTATATTGGGAGCGGCACCACCAAATAGATTCTGCAATACACAATTCAAATTTAGGAGGAGCTCTAATGCAGACACCAAACACCGAATAGAAAACTAAGAGAAAAATATTTGTCCAATAAGCTTTGTGAATTTGATATGCATGGAAAGATGAGTTAGTTAAATAATTAAATATTATATACTCCATATGCTTACAAATCACAATCTTGAATATAAAATTGAAACACAAGGATAACTATAAGCAAAGCAACTTAATTAACATTTATTTAGGCTCTCATTGAGTTTGATGAAAATATTGATTATCTAATAATTGGTTGGTCTTCAATTATTAACTCAACTTCCCCCCTACACTCCCAAACAAAGAAACAACACACATAGAATAATAACTGTATTCTTTTTTCCTTTGGCCAGCTGATACTATATAATGGTCACTGAATTTGCTTTATTTTAGCCACATACATTCAACTTTAATTTTGTAATTAATGGAACGACATTTTTAATTTTTTTTTAATAAAGTAATTATTTGCAACAAATTTTAAAGTGACAGAAAATAAATTACAATTACAAAAAAAATGAAGAAACATAATTTTATTCATCAAGATTGCGGGTACAATTATGTTCCTCCCTTGATTCTACTCTCCTAATAATTATCTATGATTCAAGGGCATTTAGTGGCATATTTCTCGAACTAGGATGATTTAGATTTGACCTCTATGAATATTCCATGACTTTTGTGGAATACTCGAGATGTCTTTTCAAGGGAATATAGTACCCTTTATATAGGCCTGAGGTTTAGGGTTGAGTAGTCTCCAAGAATTCTAATTGGAATTGAACACACCTTGTGGAGTCCCAACTCAAATTGAACACGTCTTGTAGAGTCCTACAAAATTTCAATGTCTACAAATGTCCCCTGCTTCAAAGCTTGTCAGAGTGTAGACTTGATGAAACTAAAAAAACGAGGTTTGAAGTACTCATGCTTCCACCTTTGCAACTTCAGATTTTCAGATTTAATTTATGAGAGAAGAGATGAAGGGCCGATTTGGTCCCACTGGGCGTGCCAATTTGTTTGCAACAAATTTTAAAGTGACAGAAAATAAATTACAATCACAAAAAAAATATGAAGAAACATAATTTTATTCATCAAGATTGCGGGTACAATTCTGTTCCTCCCTTGATTCTACTCTCCTAAGATTTATCCATGATTCGAGGGCTGCTCCTAAGATTTATCCATGATTCAAGGGCCGTTAGTGGCGTATTTCTCAAACTAGGATGATTTAGATTTGACCTCTATGAATATTCCATAACTTTTGTGGAATACTCGAGATGCCTTTTAATGGAATTTTTGAGATCTTGATCCATAAAAATATCCAAGAGTTTGTGGGATATTTGAGATGTCTTTTAAGAGAATTTAGTACCATATATATAGGCATAAACTAGGGTTTAGGGTTGAGTAGCCTCCAAGAATTCTAATTGAAACTGAACACACCTTCTAGAGTCTCAATTCGAATTTAACACGTCTTGTAGAGTCCACAAAATTTCAATGTCTACAGTAATACAACTAAAAGATAAAATTTATTAGAATTTTAAAGTATGTATATATATATATATATATATATATATATATATATATATATATATATATATTACTTCTAAATGTGTCTTTTTTGCTATAGTGAACAGGAGGAATCTCCCAAATTCCATCCTTTATCATTTCATATTTTCATCTTTAAAATTTATTGTTGTTGCAAAAATATTTAGTGGTAATTAAGTTAATGTCATTGTATTTATTGTCTCTCAAGTT